CTCACGGCTCAGATCTCATTAGGTCATCTATTACAATGTCATATTAATATTGTTTTTATGCAAGAAATTGGCAGGTAGTTATGTCATTCAACATGGCATCACGCATTAACCAAGTACCTAAATAGGCATATAATTATGATAACGAAATAGGTAGGTATATTAGGTATATTACAATGTAACAATCTAAACTGCTGAGTCGGGAACAAAGACATTTATACTATTCGAAATCAACATCCGGCAGTTCCCGTATCCCGGTTCCCGGTAGACGCCACCGGGCCGATAAATAATTAATCAGCGCAGTGATGGTATGGGACATTAGATTTAGAGTAGGCGCACACTGTTGATTTTTCGTCGGCCGATAGTTTAGTGGGGCTGTTGATCAGTATGGGCATGTATGGGAGTACGCACACTACGTTGATTCGATTTGGCCGATTCTTCATACAATTTGAAATCGGGCACAACTATCGGTCAACTAAAAATCAACGGTGTGCGCCTACTCTTAGGCTTCCCACTTCAAAGCACCTTAGAGTAGGCGCACACCGTTGATTTTTCGTCGGCCGATAGTTTAGTCGGGCAGTTGATCAGTATGGGCATGTATGGGAGTGCGCACACTACGCTGATTCGATTTGGCCGATTCTTCATACAATTTAAAATCGGGCACAACTATCGGCCAACTAAAAATCAACGGTGTGCGCCTACTCTTAGGCTTCCCACTTCGAAGCACCTTAGAGTAGGCGCACACCGTTGATTTTTCGTCGGCCGATAGTTTAGTCGGGCAGTTGATCAGTATGGGCATGTATGGGAGTGCGCACACTACGCTGATTCGATTTGGCCGATTCTTCATACAATTTAAAATCGGGCACAACTATCGGCCAACTAAAAATCAACGGTGTGCGCCTACTCTTAGGCTTCCCACTTCGAAGCACCTTAGAGTAGGCGCACACCGTTGATTTTTCGTCGGCCGATAGTTTAGTCGGGCAGTTGATCAGTATGGGCATGTATGGGAGTGCGCACACTACGCTGATTCGATTTGGCCGATTCTTCATACAATTTAAAATCGGGCACAACTATCGGCCAACTAAAAATCAACGGTGTGCGCCTACTCTTAGGCTTCCCACTTCGAAGCACCTTAGAGTAGGCGCACACCGTTGATTTTTCGTCGGCCGATAGTTTAGTCGGGCAGTTGATCAGTATGGGCATGTATGGGAGTGCGCACACTACGCTGATTCGATTTGGCCGATTCTTCATACAATTTAAAATCGGGCACAACCTATCGGCCAACTAAAAATCAACGGTGTGCGCCTACAGTAGTTAGGCTAGTACCGTTCAATCGCTGAACACTTAGTTGTAACTTCTGTACTTTATTATTTAATTAAAATCATTGAAAGTTTAAAATAGGTAGTAGTTTTTTTTATAAAGTCTGCTCGCCGCACAAACTTGACTAGGTACTTAAATCTTTAAGTAAATATTTACAAAATGTATTTTGTTTCAGAACCACGCGCAGACAGGAAAACTAATGTTTAGGCATTTTAATTAATACTAATTATCATTAAGTCACATGGATTTTGTGTAGCTATATAAGAAGTTATTTGACTGCCTAAAGCTGTGTAAAGTATACCAAGAAGTTTGTTACTATTTGTAAGGATGGATTGAAAATGGATTATAGAATGAAATAAAAGTTGCATCTGGTAAAAGCATTTTATTTAATTGACTGAAACTCCTGAAAGTAAATAAATAAATATCCTTGGACATTTTACACTGCGCCGCTAGTCCCAAACTAAGCAAAGTACTATGGGTACTAGACAACGGATATAAATATACTTAAATACTTTTTTTTGTTAATACTAATACATAATAATATACAAAACACCCAGACCCGTTACAGAAATTAAAATTCATCATTTCAATTTCTTCGGGAATCGAATAATCGAAACAGTCAGTTCTGAACCACTACACCAAACGGCCGACTATAAATATTATTAGATAAGTCCCTTTAAATATTTTATACCCTTAAGAGTAGGCGCACACCGCGATAGTTTAGTTGGGCAGTTGATCAGTATGGGCATTGGGCATGTATGGGAGTGCGCACACTACGCCGATTCGATTTGGCCGATTCTCATACAATTTAAAATCGGGCACAACTATCGGCCAACTAAAAATCAACGGTGTGCGCCTACTCTAAAACAGACATAGCGTGAGGTTTCGTAAAATAACATTATCTATTACTACTGTATGTAGATTGTAGGTACCTACATTACCTGACAGATATAGGATGATAAAAAACAAAGAAAATGTCTTCTAGATTGAAAATAAATATAGCCCTGTATCGACTGTATTGAGAAATAAAGTTCCAATTTTATAAATGCTATGTTCTCAAAAATCTAAGTTAAAATTATCATCCAGCTACTGCCTGTCATTTTCCTGAGGTCATCGGTCCATTGAGCAGGCGTCCCACGCTACATTTTATCTATAGGGTTCAAAAATTCCGAGATATCAATACCACTCCAATAATAATTTAGAGGAAAGTCTCTATCGACAGTATAAAAGTTATTTTTTTTTTGCTTTTGATTCAACTTTCCATACATTTTATTCTAACGCTATATATGAGATGAGGTAAACTCATCTTAGGCTGGATTGCACCAACTTACTTTAACTTTGACAAACGTTAAAAATCTGCCAAACTCCATATAAAAAGACCGGTTATGGTTATGTTACGGTCAAAGTTAGTTAGTGCAACTCAGCCTTAATGTCCTTAGTTATTATTATACGTTTACAATAAATTCAAGGTTTACCGTAATGTAAACAGCACAGAGCGCCATCTAGTGATCAGCGTTGTGACTACATTCTTTACTACAATAATACAATAGAAAAAGCAAGTACCTAGGTATGTAACGCGTATAAAAAACACGGTATGGCGCTAGTAGTTTTTTTGCACGGCAAAACTTCAAACACTTTATTTTCTTCTGATTTATTTCGTAGCGAGTCCAATGACAGTTAACTTTCCCCCGGGACAAACTTGACCTTCACTGGTTGGGTTTTTATTGGCGGTCAAGCTGTAGATCCTGGCTACACAGGAGTTTCAGAGGTGGGAATAGTCCCGATTTGCGTGGCATAACTAACGAATTGGGACCATTACCCAAAATTAGTAGGTACTAAGTCGATGCTGATGTTTGATTTTTACATTCTTTTTCAAATAAAAAAAAAAATAAAGTTTTAAATTGATATCAGTTACAAATAATAGACCATAGCTTTAAACCAATAACGGGTACATAGCATGGAGAACTATCAGCCGATGGCGCCAAAAGTTCCTGGAATGGATGAGAAATGGCAATCACAGCATCCACCCACCAGGTGACAGATGATCTTTATAGTTCACACCAACCTAATTTTATTGTATTTACCTGACTGCGCTAGAAGGAGAGTTATGTTTGTAAAATCTAAGTTACAATTTTTTTTTAAATATTTTTCCAACGTCGTAACAAATAACGTTGGGTGCGGACTGCTTCCAACCAGCTGATCTTTGTCTAGTAGGGTCTAGTAGATAGTTGGGCCCGATTCTAATTTGTATGAGGAATCGGCCGATACCAAATTGGTCTAGTGTGCGCGCGCACTTCCATACATGCCCAATGAGGGCTATCGTTTTTATACTTAACAGTTGGCACCCCTGGCGATTGACAGGACCTTACTCTACAGTGGTGCCATCTTGATGAGTGCAATTGCGATAGTTCTCCTACCACTTTAGCGCTCACCAGTTGGTGCCACTGTCTTCGCTACTAGCAAGTGACAGGACCTTACTCTACAGTGGCGCTAACTGGTGAGCGCTAAAACGATAGCCTTCATTGCCCATGTTGCCCATACTGATTAACTGCCCGACTATACTATGGGTCGACAAAAAACCGGTGGTCTGCGCCTAGACTTAATCATTTGGGAGGTCCATTGAGATAACAGCAGTAGATTTCCTGAGGCTGAAATAATAATAATGACGATCATTTGATCATCATTTAAATATTTCAGTATTTAATCACCGTCGCTAAAAATAGAATAAATTTCATATAGCCCGGTCAATAGGCTAGTTTCCTAAAAAAAAATTTTTAATCCGTCATGTTCAATATCAAAAAATATTGGACACCTATATTTTTACTTGTTAATCTAACAAATAATTACATAGTTTATGGTGCGTTGAAGTTCCGCGCGACGTCACAAAGAGCAGCACTTTTATGCACTCATTGACGTCACGGGCCTCTTCTTATAAACTTTGGCGCGCTTTATCTCTTTAAATTTTCATTAGTTTGAAAAAGTGAAAAATACGTGTAGAGTATTTTTTGATAAGTTAACTGACGGACTAATTAAAACTCTTGCTTTTTGACCCAGGAAACATCCCTATTAGGTAATGTGTGACATGAAGCGTAAATAACGGAAAATGGCGGAGTTAAAAATTGGCGACTTAATATGTTGATCAGGACTATTGCAGGATTCTTGATGAAAGATTTTTCAAATCAGTCCCTAAGTTTCGAAGTCTATTCAATTTAAATAAATCATCAAATATTTTCTATTTAAAATAGGTATAAGTATAGACTCTAGGTTTAAAGGCCATTTAATATTCATATGTACGTATATGTTACAGTCCAAACTCAAAATCAGTCAAAATCACTTTTGACTGGAAAAATCTGTCAAAAGTGTTTTTAACTGATGCCCTTGGTCAATATCACTTTCTTTTGACTGATTTTTCAAAAGAGCGTTAGTCAATACTACTTTTGTCCGCAGAAAATCAGTCAAAACCACTGATATTTGCAGTCAAAAGTGGTTTTGACAAATTATGAGTTTTGACTGTAGCATAGAATTAAATATACACTGCGGCTTCCTGGGAAAATTCTATTTTAATAAACAATTGCTTGATTACCATTAACCTAACAAAATGCACGCAAGCCTCTCCATAAGGCGCCATAACTTCAGTGCGTTGCACACATCGAAGTGGCGTGCGTAGGCGCACAGTGGTGTACTTTATTTTGTGAATTATTGAGAAAATAATAAAATATTTTAAGTTAAAGTTATTACAACATAAAGGAAGAGAAGGAGAATATTAACAGGGGTTTTAAATCTGGTGAGTGTTAATTTTGGAAGTATTATAGTTATAATTAATGTGCTTTAAAAGCTGGCATTTTAAATACAATTATGTATTCTCTTTTCATTACCAAAGCTCTCAAAAATTTAAAATACATTGTCTTATAATGTCCACAGGGTAGAATTTGTAATGCCACCTGAAGGGAAAATATGTTACCTCTTAATACTGGAGATAGAAAATTTAACCCAAAGATAACATTCCTTCATTTTTTAAATCAAGACTGCTTTAAAGATTTCCGATTTTCTTGCCATACCCGGAAATCGAACCGACTAAAATCTGTTAAAATTACACCCTGTATTTATATTCCATCAATCGTTAGGGTCAAATATACAAGGCTGCAACTTGATGAATCAAATGAAAGGAAAACCACGAAATCTTATTAAGAGTTGATTTTATTAAATTTTTACGCAAGTACTTGACATAATTTGTTGCTAATGATCTCTAGTATAACCCGTTTCAAGGAATAAGTCGAGTTTCCCTGTTACCCTGTATAAATCAGCCATTTCGAAGAAAAGTATGATAATTATATTTATTTTAAAATTGAGAAGTTTATTTTGGGATATCCCGTTACGACGCTGCCGATATGAATAATGCATTTTTTTACAAAACAGTGTAAACATAATATTGTACAGGTGTATTTGTTAGGAAATATGCCGCCGCATATTATCTTCTTTCAAGTGATCATTTTCAAGATGTATCAGCAAGCCTCAACTCTTAGGCTGGTTTTAGAGTCGCGCTGACCGCACGCTGATCGTCGGCGCTGACAGATCAATATGTATGTAGGTAATTGAAGGGAACGTTCCTGAGTGACGCTGATCGCTCGGCGCCGACGCTCCATACATTTCGGCTGTCAGCGCTGACGGTCAGCGTGCGTCAGCATCTAAAACCAGCCTTAGGGCCGGTTTACACCACGGTGCGAAGCAGAACAGAGAAGTTTTTTGAATAAACTCAGATTTCATTACTTGCACATCTCCTCTCCGCTCCGCTTTGGTGGAAATGGACTGAGCGGAGAAGAGCGGAGAAGTGTTGGGCGCACCTGTTTTTCTATAGAATTTACAGTGGTGGCGGTGCGACGCGGCTCGGTGCGGAAAAGAGCGGAGATGAGCGGAGCGGTGCGGAGATGTGCGTAGCGGTGGATTCATTAATAGCAATAGACCGACAACTGACAGCTAAGTCTAGATATTAGCACGTCTTGTATACCCATTCTTATAAGATACACCATACAAGAATGCATAGTAAATTCAGTGAATTGCTCCTGAATCGAATGTACCTACTACTACTATTTCTATTTATTTATATTAACCGGCAGACAGTGGTGACTGAGTTTGTTGCGGCGCTTCTTCTCAGCACTTGCCAAATGTTGGTCTCGAAGCGCTGGTAGGGTAAAAAGATTATGAGACATGTAGAGGCTCCTTAAGAACAAAATGACGATTTGTAAGAACTATTTATTAGTCTAAACAAATAAAGAAATTTTGACTTTGACTTTGACTTTACGCACAACTCATAAATCTCCTCTCGTCTCCGCACCGCTCCGCTCTTCTCCGCTCCGCTTTGGTGGAAATAACCTGCCAGTTTCGCGACACATCACTTCCCATCTCCACACCGCTCTGCTTTGGTGGAAACCGTGCCTTATTGCGCGACCAACGATAAAAATAGTAGATACATGCAGCTATTATAGGTACTGAAATTCGCTGCCAGCTGCTATCTTTCCCGAAGACTATAATCCGGACATTTTCAAGGCGAGAGTGAATAGGCACTTACAGATATGTACCATCCTAGACTGCATCCCACTTAACACCAGGTGCGATTGTGGTCAAATACCGGCCTTATTATGCATAAAAAACAATTTTGTGTCTAATTTTAGCAGAAAAAATATGCACATATTTTTCGACCAACTTCTTGCTATTGCAGGCCACCATAGCTCCTTATCAAGTTAATAGAGCATAGTCCATTTCAAATAGTTTCAAAACAATAGGTAGTCAAGGAACCGGTTGAGTAGGACGATAATAATTGAATTCTTCGTAGTTGATAGCTAAAGTAGTGAATTCAGCTGTTGTGTGTTATGATCTTCGAAACTCATGGTCTGACTTCTTCTCATCTCTTTGAGACGAATAGTCATCAATAGCTTTTTCCCGTGGTTTCGCTCGCGTGAAATTCATTGACGTATTCCACTTTGTGCACCCGCTCAAATAACATCCGTACCTACGAATAGCACCTGACCTATTCCACTTAGAGCACCTATCGATATTATGAGCAGTGTACCTACCATGAGTTTACGATAAGTGTGCTCGCTAGCGAGTACGTCAAAAATCTCTATGAAGATTTTGTTTCTTGAAAGTAGCCGCTAGGGGCGCTGAACAATATGTCATACAAGTAATGTCATTTTTTTACGCAGTCGCTAGCGAGCACACCTAACGTAAACTCATGGTAAGCACACTGATGTTTGCTGGTGGTGCTCTACCTAAGTGGAATAGGTCAGGTGCTATTCGTACGGGTGCTCTTTGGGTGGTAGCGCAATGCGGAATACGTCATTCAGTTTGTCATATCCTTTAAGTTATTCTGATGTATTAACAATAATACTGTAAAGTTTCATGACGTTCACGTCCATTGAACTCCACTGTTGAACATAGGTTCATTATTTCCCAACAGAACTGTCAATGTACCAAAGTTATTCTTCATTTAAAAATTATCCGACGATTGAGCAAAAGCCTCAACCCAGATGTCCGATATCCATATAAAAACATAATCTCTGTTTATTTTAATCTCCTTTCTATTACAATCTTGGTGATGTTACAGCCATAACACATAACATGGAAACAAAGATAATGTTATTATAATCTATTGTATAAAAATGATATTGTTCCATCTGTGTCTACTACTTAGTTTCTTTCAGCTAGTGATACTCTTGTGTTGCTTTGGGAGAGAGTCAGTTTTTATTTGTAATTTGTGATATAAAAACGTACTATCAACGGCTCTTAGCCTATTCAGAATTATGAATTCCCCATAGTAGATTGTGGACTTCGTGTAACTAGCTGTGCCCGCGAGTTGGTAAGCGTGAAAAGTGAAAATAGTTTGAATAATATTTCCCGTTTTTGCAACATTTTTCTTTACCGCTCCGCCCCTATTGGCTGTGGGGTGAAGTTTTTTAGCATAAAGCCTTTCTCGATAAATGTACTATCCAAAACAATAATAATTTTAAAATCAGACCAGTAGTTCCTGAGATTAGCACGTTTAAACAAACAATTTGTGATATAAAAACGTACTGATAGCGGCTCTTCAATCTTCAAAAATTATAAATTCTTATAATAAATTGTGAACTCTAACTCTCTGTCTAAAGTGTGAGGAGGTCGAATAAATAATTTTGAATATAGTAGGCTGACTCGCTGACTCGCTGTAGGATCTTAGTACTTAAAGTAACGAGTTCTAAAATTTGTCAAAATATTGGTTTTACCTGGCACCAGGTCTTGTAATATTGGTAAGCAATATGTAATTCAATCGACTTGATAGTTTTCATTTAAAGAGTAAAATTATCAGTGGCCGCTTAAAACATAAAAAAGGAACATCAAAAAATATATTTTTTTTGGTAATTTTTGTCGTCTTTGATAGATAGGTAGGTAATTTAAGTCTTTTACATCATGTTAAAAATGACATCCGAGTACACTACAGCACTTAACCGCAACTGGTTAACAATCAACTGGTTATTTAAGTAAAAGATGACTAATTAAGCAATTTCCAATTAATGGGAAAACCAATTTTAGGCGCCACATAATTGAAATATTCCCAATACCCAATTTATTGGTAACGAAACCTGATTAATTATAATTATAATAGCAATAATGATGTTGAATGTACGTAGGTACATTGATGTTTAGTGTTTGTGTAGAACTAAAAGAAATCAGTCTGTTGACAATTATTATTTATTACAGAAATAGTGAATTTGAATATGACTTCAATTGGACTGAAAAACCCCGAGTGGGATTTGAGCAAGAGCAAATGTAAGTAACTTATATTTTGTTATTATTGAATTAAAATACTGTTATATGTACCCTGCGGCCAACCCAACGGCCAAGTCACACAACATTATTGTAACTATAATAATAAAGAAATTGCAGTAAGGAACCATATAGGTACTTGCCACGAATTTGACTAGATTTCATTACTTTTTAGAGATAAACAAGCAGCTCCATCGAGACTTGGCTAGTTTTTTACAGAATGATTTTAGTGGGATAATATTATAGAGATTATACCTTTTTATCCATAATTTTCATATCCTTATAGTTTTTGTCATTGTTGGTATAGTACTTGTGCAAGTAATTTCTATGCTATATGTATTGCTTGATTAATGACTATAGTGAATGATGTTTTCTTATAATCATAAAAAGTAAGTAATAAAGTTCAGGTCAAAAGTGTAAAAGAGCTAAAAATAGATAGGTTAATGGGGTTCCATGGATATTAATAAGTTTTTGTCTTATATAAGTACTAATAAGTACTTAAAACTTATTGCTGCTGGATGAAAGAAAGATTCGATGATTTTAATTTTTCCAGTCGATGAAGTAGACGACCTACCTCTCATGAGGTCTCCAGGCCCAGTTCTGATGATCCTGGCCGCATACCTGATCTTCGTGCTGAAGGTGGGACCAGCCTTCATGAGGAAGAGAGAGGCGTACAAACTGAAGACGGCTTTAGTGTGGTACAACGGTGTGCAAGTCGTATTATCGGTGTTTTTGGTGATAAAGGTACTCACTGTTAATTTGTTACTAAATTGGATTTCTGGGTTCGACTCCTTTAAGAAATCTTTAAAAAATAGGACATACGAATATCCTACCATACCATAATGTAATGAGTGATCTATCTACGAATGTAATATGTCATCCACGAAGACGCGCTCCACCAATTTTTGGTCGAGGGAAGCGCGGGGTGCGGGGAGTTGGATCCGAGTAATCCGAGCGTCATTATTGTAGTGTGCGTGTGCACTCATGAATAATTTAGCGTGTACCGATAACACTCAAACATTAGCGAAGGACTGATGGGGCGCGTCTTCGTGGATGAAACGATCTATACTAACACATGAGTAAAGATTCGGTTTCTTTACTCATGTGATTCTATGCCAGAAGTCGCGGGTTTGGTTCGAGTGATTAGGCAAAATATTTAATTCTTTTTTTAAATTTTGAGCAGTTTTTTTGTTACTTCATTGACAATTAATTAAAACAATACTTTTTATTTGTTTACAGTACGCATACCTAATATACAGGATGGGGCTGTTTCCAACAGCATGTTACATAGAACGAGACGATATGCGCAATGAGGTGAGTTGTATAAATTCTGAAAAACTAATCATAATACAGTTAGTAGGTGTTATTGCTAAGACTCCTCGTGGACCGACGACATCATAAGCCTTATGATATATAACACTTATGACATAAGGGTAGCAGGGAAGCGCTGGACGCAGGCCGCTACCAATCGATCAACATGGAAAGCATTGGGGGAGGCCTATGTTCAGCAGTGGACGTCCTATGGCTGAAATGATTATTGCTAAGACTCCAGGTTGCACCTGTAGAATACTTCATTACTCATTGATGTTGTATCACCATCATAATCATTCAAAGGACGTCCACTGCCGAACATAATTTCGGAAAGTCTAATATTCGAACATCTTTGCTGAAGGTTTCTTTCTTTTCAAAAATAAAGGATTTTGTTTGTAAAATATTCCACAGTACCTAATAAAACACTTTCCCTTTAGGCCGTAATTAAAAAAAATCCATCCTGTAGTTTGGGACTGGCTTTAACTCAATTTATTTAATGTTAATAAAATCTCTTATCCTTTTCCAGGTTCTCGTGGGCATTTGGTGGTACTTCGGCGCAAAACTGACAGAACTCCTTGACACAGTCTTCTTTGTGTTTCGTAAAAAGTACAGCCAGATCACCTTCCTGCATCTATACCACCACACCATCATGGCTATTGGTACTTGGAGTACGCTGAAGTACTTTCCCTCTCACCTGCTGTTCTTCGTGGGCTGTCTGAACTCTTTCGTCCACGTACTCATGTACACGTATTACGGCCTCGCCGCGTTCGGGGACAGATTCGCCAAGTACTTGTCGTGGAAAAAGTACATGACTAAAATTCAATTGGTGAGGATGTTTCTTATTTTAATAGTTAAATTGTAGAAGAAGTGGGACAATACGATCGATAGCGTGCGACAGATGCACGCGAAATACTTACAACAATACTGGCACTTTGTAACCATTATGTATGAAATTTCAGTTTCAGGTTACGTATTTTTTCATTTTTCATATTATTAACTAATAATAATATGAAAAATGAAAAAATTTTTTGGGGAACTATATCAGAACTAGCGGTCGCCCGCGACTTCGTACGCGTGGATCTCGTTTTATCCCCTTAGAGGTAGAGTTTCGTAAAATCCTTTCTTAGCGGATGCCTACGTCATAACATCTACCTGCATGCCAAATTTCAGCCCGATCCGTCCAGTGTTTTGGGCTGTGCGTTGATAGATCACTATGTCAGTCAGTCAGTCAGTCTCAGTTTTTTTAAATTTTGAATGTATGGATTGACTCTATAGCTCACTTTTAAAATTCCGTATTTGGGACAACACGTCTTTCCAGTTCATAATTATGTTGCCTCCAATCGGTGGTAGAGCAAGCTATAGTTGAAACATGTTTATAGTACTTACTACTATAAAATTTTATTTTTATTTAAGTTATTTATATATTTTTTTCTGTCTTTTCAGATACAATTCGTAATGATCGTGTTCCAGTACGTTTACACGGTCAGATCATCAGAGTGTCCACCATCAAGAGGCATAGCCCTATTCATCACCGCCAATACAATTTTCATCTTATTCCTTTTCTTGAACTTCTACAGGCAAAGCTACACCAAAACTGCAAAGAAAACCACTCCTGGCTTAAAAAGTGACGCTAATGGTGTTCACAGATTGACAGAGAATGCGAAAAAGGCAGAATAAGTCTCATTTATCAGAGCATGTGCAAGACTGTTTGTAATTCTTTTAGGATGTAAGGAAAGGGTGACATTTAATAATGATAATGCGGTTTAAAAGATATCAAACATTAAAGGGAACGTGTACACACGCCCACATTGTTAACTATCAATTTCCGTTTTTGCTCTCGCTCTAATCAAATGACGATTCTTTGCGATAGAACGAGATGCCATGACTTTCAATGGGCAGTTAACACTGTTGGTGATAGTACAACCAACAACGAAGGTGGTGTCGACTGGCAATATTTTACCTATTTTATTAGTTGACATTGACATTGACAGAAAGCAGGAAAGTTCGTGGCGACCACTGAAGTAGCTGTGTGTCTAGCTGTTTCTTTAAATTTTATTATAAACTAGCTGACCCGGCGAACTTTGTTCCGCCTTAATGGCAATAAATAAGCAGACTTTTTTTTTCTTTTCGTACGGAATAAAAAGTATCCTATGTCCTTCTCCTGGCTCTAAACTACCTCCCTGACAATTTTCAGCTAAATCGGTTTAGCCGTTCTTGAGTTATAAGCGAAGTAACTAACACGACTTTCTTTTATATATAGATAGAAGATCATAGTGCCTCTTTTGTCGGCTTAGTGCCAGCCACCTGCACGTTCCATATAGCATAAAATTGTTGGTATGTATTTTAATATGTTGAGACAACGAAACCGCATGGATATTACAGAAAATAAAAAGCTTTCGTATCAGGTTTTTTAAAGGTGCTAGACTAACCAAGCAAATATTATCAAATCCAAAACAGAGAAAAATAAATAAGCGATTGATTCAGGGGAAAATGCATGAATATGAAAACTAATTTATGAGTAGAATTTGTTCCTGAAAGTCCTGGTTTTTAAGTTTATAAAGCAATTTTTATAAAAATACAACGATTGTCACATTGTCTATTTCTTATGTTGTTTTGACATCTTTTCATCTTGTTACTCTGCGACCACAAAATGCATCAAAGTAAACTGTATAAAATTTTGTAGCCGTATACTGAATCCGATGGTATTTTGTTCCAGCTACAATCATTAATAATTATTATGTTTTAACTTGTTGAAACTGTGTCACCAGAGGCACTGAATTATGTCGCCACAGCCTTATTTATAGTTTACAAGTTGAGAATAAAAAGTTAAGAAGTATTGTATTTTATTTAATTTATTTTAAAATATACACTCAACATCAAATAAACCGCACCTTCCGCGACGCGAACTTTAAAGATTTTCTTCTGACACAATCATGGTGCCCCAACAATATTGATGTTATTTGAAAGCCCAATAAATATCCTTAAAGAAAAACACATTTAATTTCTTAATAAATGATGAACATGTACCATAAATGTGAATTGAAAAAAGACCTCACTTTGGGCTCACCTCTGGGATCAACTAGACCAAATTTTATGGTTATAAAACCAAATAATGATCACACGTGTCCTCTTTAACAGATGGATAGGGATTAATCCCAACTTAACAGTTTTAAAGCCAGAAAAGTTGGCTCAAACGTAACTACCTATTTTTTGAAGAAGTGACCCTGGATCCTTCTAAGGCACTTTTTTGGGGTTTTTACCTTTCCTTTAATGAAGTGAAGTTTAGAACTAGACTTTTAAATGGTGCCAATATTGGTGGGAAGTGGGGATGCATAACTTTGAAAGTGCTTGTCGCGGGAAGTGCGATTGATTTGATGTCGAGTGTATTTTACATAGACCTAGTGGCTATGTTAGTAATACCCTGGGGCTGAGAACCTGGTATTTACCGTTCACCCAAAACTTAGAAACAGTTTTAATATTTACAATTTTTGTATACCTACTGAAATCTCTCATAACATAAAATAAATAAAACGAATTCAAAAACCTACACTAAGAAGTAGAAAAATAATAATAAATTATTAAAAGAAAAATAGTTAAAATATATTAGGACACATTAAGACCCAAGGTGCCAAGGTTATGAAACTTCAAAAAAAGTCGAATTGAGAACCTCCTCCTTCTTTTAAAGTCGGTTAAAATACGAGCATAATACCTCTTCATTTAAAATAACCGATCAGCTGTTGCAATTTACATACCTATGTTTCATTGTATTGAATTCCTTCAATGAATAAAGCATACTAATTTGGAGCAAGTTCAACGGAAAAAATCCATGACATGAATACAAGTTTTTGGACTAATAAATTCGGATTAGCAAACAATAAAACAAACTACTGTTCAAAAAATAATATATTTTTTGTCAAAATTACTGTTACATTAATGTAGAGTATTTAATTTGTTCTTAAATGCAATTAAGGTGTAGAACGCCTTTACATTTTTTTAATGTAAGAGACACGTTATTTTGGAATGTAGTTCTAGTTTTGCTTGCGTAGCTTTATAGAGCTCTCAAACCTAAGCAACTTTACCATTGACCACAAGAAACTAGAATAAAAATTATAATAAATAGATAAAATTTGTTTTTTGCTCCAGAAAAGTAGACCTTTGTCCCTTACATTATGTTATATTTCCGTGATCGAAAATATTATAATATGACATAGTAATCAACGTGCGATGCTTTAAATACGTCAATGTTATACTTATCAACTGCACAGTAATTATTGTGACGTTAATGGTAGGGTGAGTACACATTATAGGTATTTTATTATATTTTTCATTTTATGCTACATACTCACTTTGTTTCATAGTGCATTCTATGTTATCAAAAATATAAATAATTATAATATCTTATTTTTTAATTACAGTACGATGAAAGAATAAGTACGAAATTAATTGTTTTACATATTTTATTTTCCTTCCGTACAGATATAAATTGGTAATAGGTAGGCGCTCTAGAAGAAAATAACTGGTAAGACGTATTAATAAAATAATATGAAATATTCGAGTATAGGTAGGTCTGCTCGTGATAACTATCTGGTATCGAAGATACCATCTATGGTAGAGCGAGCATAACCAGAAAATGCCTCTTCAAAAGTTCCTTAATTGCCTTAGGGCTTATAATCTTAATTTTTCAGTTAAATTATTTTTTAAATGCTAAATTGGAATTGTATTCTGTAGTTGTGCTTTTAAATAAATAATAAAATTAAATATCCTTGGACATTTTAACTACACTACGCTTCTAGTCCCTAAGCAAAACTTGTACTATGGGTTCTAGACAACGGATATACAAAACTTAAATACTTTTTTTTTGTAAATACATACTTATTATACATAAATAAATCAATTACTTATTAGGGAACACAACGAGACAAGATCACAATATTTGTTTTTCCGAAAGACCGTTTTTGAAGTAAGTCCGCAAGTGTGCGTTAAGCCCTACATAATTTGCAAGCCACCATTATAAATATTAGTTCATATTGAATGGAAATCATTAGTTACCAAGACATTGCTCAACTTACACTGCTTAGTCTTACCTAATTAGGTTTTGGCCTAGCATTGTTGTAGTCATTTGACATTGATCTCTCGATAACAATTAACCAAAAATCTAATAAGTGACAGTGAATCGGCTTTGGCGATTAAATCGCGTTTAGTTCTTGATTTGGGCAGCCGGTATGGATGTGTATAATCACACTAATGGAAGCTTACGGGATTTTCTATGGGATTTCAGGGGGAAAGGTATGTTTTTTGATTTCTTGTGTTATTTTTTTGGAGTTCACACACTCTTGTAGCTCGGGTCAATTCTATAAGTATGTATGTCATAAAATTTATGTGTAAAAAAAATAAAATTTGATTGGATCAACATTACTGTACCCAACGGAACAAGGTATCGTACCTATTACCTATTTGATTGATCAGTAAAATACCTAAACTAGCGCAGTGCTATGTATTATGCATGTAGAAAATGATAATAATTTTATTAATTTGCCAGATAACGGAAACTTGTGCTTACAAATACTTACATAGTGAAATATTCTATCCAGCGCATTTTATTGCATGCTAAGTGCAATTTTTATACCTGTAACTACTACAGCAGGAACAGAATCCAACAGTGTGTTTGTACTATTATTACTTTGTAAAGTATAATAACATAAACACAATATTGTTTTTTCCCCATACACACTGACGATTATAACATTAAAGTAATCATGCTATTTAACCATGAAACCGACCATGGTTATTTATAAGGAAACTATTCAATGTATACTCTACTTCTAGTGGTTTATCAATTTGCTTATTAAATTAATGATTGAACCAAACCTTAATTAATACTTAGATACCATAACATACCATATCGGCATGGGGCACACTGAAAACCAGGGTCGTGGGCGTGGCCTTCCTCTCCGTGGGCCGCGGCATATGCTGAGTGCGGTCCCATTGCGATTTTTTATTTCCTTGTAATTTATGACTGTGCTATTTCTGTCTTCTTTTCCGTATACCTTCTTTGTCCTTAAATAAGTGATGTTCATCGTAATATTTCTTTTTGACGCCAAGTGTATTTACTATCTTGGTCCAAACTTTAACTGAAGGAGAATGCCATATGGCATAGTGTTCGCCTTTTGGATACAGTAATACAGTTTTAAGCAATTATTATTTTTAACACTTTTTATCATGAAATGAATCATTAGTGGGTTTACAAAGCTTAACAAACAATTACTGTTTTTGTTTTTCTTAATGTTGTTTTCAACTTTTGACCGTCGATGCTAATTGATATTATTTTTATTGTTTTCAGTGCACTTCGTCGACAAATGGTACCTGATGACAAGTCCAATGCCGATCTTGGCGATCTTACTCGTATATTTATTTATAGTGTTAAATGTAGGACCTAAATTAATGAAATCAAGACCGGCGATGAACTTAAACAAAGTGCTTGTATTGTATAACGTAGTACAAATATTTGTGTCTGTATTTTTATTTTCTAAGGTGAGTTTATTGAATAACTTAACGTTATTATTCTACAATCTGATTGAGCTAACTGCGCACCCTGCTGGAATGCGACTCTCCCTCCCACTTAGTGCACACCTCCCCGTATTTGCCCCGTTCCGTACCAAAGCGTCGATGTGACGTCACGTCTGCTAGGTACGCAGTTGACTCGACCGGATTGTAGCGCCGTACAGCTTATGCTGAGCTGAAGTTTTGGTAACTTCTACCTGCTTTTATTCTGATATTGATTATGTCAGTGCTTGATTTGATAATAGCAAACGTTTATTTATTTATAAACTAGCGACCCCCTCAGGGGTGGAGTTTTTCTTAGATAATGCCTACGTCATAACATCTACCTGCATGCCAAATTTCAGCCCGATCCATCCAGGTGGTTTGGGTTGTGCGTTGATAGATCACTATGTCAGTCAGTCACTTTTGAGTTTTAATAATATAGATGAATCGAACGGCAATACTGATTTCAGGGCTTCCATCTCATGAAGGCGCATGGATTTTTACAAAGGCCGTGTTTGCAGAACAATGAGAAAGTCATGATGGGGGTAAATATTGTTTTACTTAATTTGTAGGCTCTTTGACTGTCGGTTGCTAGTTACTACGATTTTTTGATTTAGTAAGCTACGGGTTTGCGTACGTGAACTTTACTTTTACAGACAGGATATTTATCTACTAATATTAGATTTGACTAATGTTATTTCATCGGTTTTTGACTCTATACATTACTGAGCTTCCAGATAAAAGAATAAAACGGTTTACCACCTTGTATTCCATAGGTATGCAGTTACAATGTTAATTGAAAAATAATTCGATACATACCATCTCATTTTTCATATTCAGATTATTGTCTATGATAAACAAACGTAGGCGTAGCTACGGGCATAGATATTTCAAAAAAATAGATTATTGAAACACTTCAGCTTAGCCGTACTAATACTACCTGTTAAAACCCAGTCTCTGAGCACGTAGAATTTTGTCCAATGACCCCAAGCTCACACACTCACTGCGGGCGCCCGTCGCACAGTCGCGACAGCAATATAATTACGCGCGAGCGATAAAGATGGGTAGCTTGGGGTCATTGGACAAAATTCTACGTGCTCACAGACCGGGCTTTAATCGTTATTCTTTCCTCCACACGACAGGCAATGCCTAATGTGGAGGTCTGTCTTTTTAGTTATTGTATTGTTTGTTACCGGCAATAGTAAATATTTTCATTTTCATTTTCAAACAAAGTATTAATTGTCTTTTTCAGGTTACCTCAGGCATTTACTACTACTTAACAGCCAAAATAAGCGAGCTACTCGACACTGTCTTCTTTGTTCTAAGAAAAAAGCAAAACCAAGTTACCTTCCTACATGTATACCATCACTCTGGCATGGTGCTATACACATGGTTCGCTTTGAAGTACGAGCCAACGTATAGTGTGGTGTTTTTAGGCACTGTCAATTCATTTATTCATATTATTATGTATTTGTACTACGGGCTGTCGGCGTTCCCTTCGCTGGCCAAGTATCTGTGGTGGAAGAAGTACATCACTTCTATGCAGCTGGTGAGTTTTCTGCCTGATTAGTGTTTTAAAGGTTAGAGTATTGTAGAGTATACAGGATGTCCCAAAATTAGCACATCACACTGTTTTACACCAGAGAAATGAGCTTAAGACGCATCTAACAAGGATATTAAGTCCATTTTTAAAAATAACTAATACGAGTCATATTTTAAAACTCATCAAACTTTTTTAATGGAATTGAATAAATAAAATTGTCATAATCCTAAAACTTATGAACCTTTTCTATGGACATATTAAGCTTGTTCGATTCATCTTAGACTTAGCTACCTCCAGTGTCAGTGTGACGTGCTAATTTTAGGACACCCTGTATATCCCCAGTATATCTATGATAAAGACTAGAACTAGGGCCGCCACGTGCAATGGAGCTCTAAAAATTCCGATACAAATTTTGCCAGCCTCAGTGAGGTTTCTCTTGACAACGTCATCCAAAGTTTCATCATCATCATCAGCATCTCAGCCATAGGACATCCACTGCTGAACATAGGCCTCCTCCAATGCTTTCCATGTTGCCCGGTTGGTAGCGGCCTGCATCTAGCGCCTTTCTGCTACCTTTAAGGTAGTCAGTCCACCTTGTGGGTAGACGTCGCACGCTGCTTTTTCCGGTATGTGGCTTCTACTCCAGAATGTTGCTGCCCCATTGGCCGTCAGTTCTGCGTACTGTGTGCCCTGCCAATTGCCCTTTCAGCTTGCTAATCGGTCAGGCTATGTCATTGACAATTTAGTTCGTTTACGGATCTCCTCATTTGTGATTCGATCTCGTAAAGAAACACCGAGCATAGCCCTTTCCATAGCACGCTGTGCAACTTTGAGCGTCTGTATATTGCTGAAGCATCTTACATTTTCTAATTATGAACCCCATTGTTTCAGATTCAATTTGTGTTGATCCTCTTCCATGCAATCGCTAACTACGCATATGGAAGCTGCCCACCATCGTACGTCTTATTTTCCATGATATTGTTCAATACTGCGTTTCTCCTACTTCTGTTTTTCAACTTTTATGTTAAATCCTATGTTAAGAATACGTCATCTAAAACGGCGAAGAAAAAAATTACATAATGAGAAAGATAAAATTAGAAGTTTTTAATTACTCGTAGTACCTATTTAGTATTAGATTAGCCTTCGAAAAATAAGAGAAGTATAATATTCTATTTGTAAAAAAGACAAATTAAACCTTTTTCTTATTTTATTTTATTTATACTAGCTTTTGCCCGCAGCTTCACCCGCGTGAAATTTAGTTTGTCACAGATCGACATAAATTATAGTGTGATTATAGCATATATTATGTTAGTCTGGGTTATAAAAATTGATACTGTAAAGTTTCATCAAAATCCGTTCAGTAGTTTTTGCGTGAAATAGTAACAAACATCCAGACATCCAGACATCCAGACATCCAGACATCCAGCCAGACAAAATATTGTTTTACTTCAAAGTCAAATCCAATCAATAATCCTAATTAATGATTTGTTGAAGATCAATATTTAGAAATGTAATCCACCAAGGTCCTAAAAGTCTACAAATACGACACTGATTCAAAGTATTTACTTGCTTATCAAATACAATTATTGTTTAAAATGTAAAGATCTTAATTACAGCGAAGTATTGTGTCGATACGCTAGAAAATACATGTCATCAAACGTATGTTCAGTCACGTTTTGCTGAATTGCAATAAGTCGTATGCGTCGAGTGCAATGACGTGACTGAGTAACAAAATCATTGACCTACTTTTAGAAATCAAATTATGTATTTTAAAATGCAAATTTTAACATCTGAGACTCTAAGTAATATAAATAAATCCTAATCAAATAAAATGTAACAAAATGAGGCAAGGAAACAGATGATGAAGGATCATCATCATCATCAAACATTAAATATCCAGTCCAGTGATATCATACGAGTACACATCCAACTGATAGATAATTTGGAATATCTATAGGCTTGCATGAACAGAAATATTGAATTATATTTTAACTAATAGTCTGGGAGGTGCCAAACGAAAATAAAATTTTCCTGAAACACTAAAGAAAAGTAAAAATATAAAGCAAAGTTAATTTCTGGCGCATAAAACGTTATGGTTTGGTACTCCATCTTTTGTGGTATAGTTAAGTCATAGAAATTATTCTATGTTCTTCATCTCAGGCGTTAGTAATAATAAATAGCTGCTATATACTCGTATATCTAACGCCTCTTTTTCCCTGACGTAATAGATCAAACAACATTTAATTTATCTACAAAACCTCTTAATCTTAATTAGATATAATCTCAGATATAATAACGGCCAAGTCACACAACATTAACTATAATAATGAAGAAATCGCAGAAAGGAACCATCATAGACTTGGCACGACTTTGTCTAGATTTCATTACTTTTTAGAGATAAACAAGCAGCTCTAAGGCCGCTTGTAGACATCCGTTTTTTTGACCGGACAACGGCCCTATTTTTTCACCGGAGTTAGCGGTGGCGTATGGTTTATAATGAACGTGTGCACATGCATCGGACATAGGTCCGGCGAGAAAATTGACAGCAAACAAAGGATATCCGTTTTTTGACGGTCCGTCGTCCGGTGAAAAAACGGATGTCTACAAGCGGCCTAACGAGACTTGGCTAGTTTTTTACACAATGTTTTTGGTGGGATTATTTTTACTGAATAAACAGAAGAACTTAATTCTAAAATTATTGTTAACCTCTAAATTATTGTATGCAGGCATGAACATATAACAGTGTTGTGGTTTATTAGAAATAAATTAGACATTTCAGTACAAATAACAGATTCAAATTTAATTTTCCCGTTTCTTGGCTATTGGAAAAATATATCCCACCAAAAACATTTTGCCTTTTCATTATTTTTCTGTTAAACAATAGCACTTCAATCTCCAGTGCCTCCAGGCTTTTGATCATTCGTTTCAGCCAAATGAAGTCCCCTGCTGGACAAAGGCCTCCCCCAAGGAGTCCTGCGCTGCCTGCATTCAGGTCTTCCAGAGACCTTCACCAGATCGTAGGTCCACCTAATGAGGGGCCCGCCACGTCATCAGATCCGTGGTCGAGAACTTTTCTGACCCAACGGCCACAAGCTCTACAAGCTATGTGCTCCAGGTTTTACTTTCTTAGAATATCAATGAAATTATGTGCTTATTTGTAAGTAATTTATGCACGTAGTTCAAAGTCGGTTGATTAATGCTAGACACTTGATAATGAAAATAAACAATAGGGACAATTGGGAACAAAACCTTGAAGGGGCTAAATTATTTACGTAATTGAATCAACAGCTGCTCTAAATTTCGATGTGTACTTCTCAGAAGGGAATTTATTACAAATCTGTTCATTTTCGTTAGTCATCCAAGCTTCACTATCAATCATACCTAAGCTTAGTACTATGCAAGGCACGTTTTTATGTCTTTTATGATGAGTGTAGGTTTGAAAGCTAAAATTATTTTTTTATAATTAACTAACGGCCGCCTGCGACTTCGTACGCGTAGATCCCGTTTTACCCCCTTCATCTATCTTACGCGGTTTAGATTTTTTCATACAAATGTTTTTTCCCGCTAACTCCCGTTTCCGTGGGAATTTTGCAATATCCTGTTGTAACCAAGCTTTAAGTTTACTAAGGTACCTGCATGCCAAATTTCAAGCGTCTAACTTAAGCGGTTTAGATTTTTCATACAAAAGGATTTTCCAGCTAATTCCCAATCCCGTGGGAATTTCGGGAATTCCTTTCTTAATGCACCTCTACGGTACCTAAGCTACGTTCTTTCCAAATTTCAAGTGCCTACGTTTAGCCGTTTAGGCTGTGCGTTGATATGTCAGTCAGTCAGTTTCACCTTTTATGGTAAATGGGTATATAAGCCGACACTAGCCCATGTTAACATGAGCATATAAATGGTATGGTAAAGTCAGAAAGGACAATGTTCGTTCTCCATACATTGTTCGCCGTTAGATCAACAGTGCCGAAATAATACTTTCTAGGTTCTAAATGACACAAATCTTTATGTAAGAACAATTATTCCTGGCGGACCAATTCTATAAACTTATTGATAGCAATATTGTTATCATAACCTCTTACTTACTAGTATTGTATTATATTATTTTATGCACATCGATTTGGGAGATGTTCTGTATTGTAGTTGTCGCAGCCAAATTGTATTATAATATTGGACGGGTTTTGGAAATAGCTCGGCGTTCCACTTTTATGATTTACTTACTTACATTTTGCACGTAAATAAATAACATGAATCCTATGTTTACTTTCCACTCTTGACATTTAACNGATGCATCGGCACCCTTACATTTGATTGAGTGATCAAAAATTAGCAATATTAATATTTTTATCAAATTAAGTATCAAGATAACTCAATCCGGTTGTCTTAACTCTACACATTTGATCCTAAGAAATAGAAATGTAGCAGAAATAACAAAACATTATTGAAAACACATCATTTATTCCTTTTTTCGTTATCTTACAATAACAATATTTTGTACTATAATAAATGTAATTTATAAGAAAAAACATGAGTAATAAGCAATTTATACACATTGGTACATATTAAAAATTAATCCAATTTTATATTGACGTTTTAATATCACCGTTAAAATAATAATTGGACCCATTTATGCAAACAGGAACCAACCCACACTTTGAGTGAAATTGAGTTAAGTACATAGATGGCGCTCAAATAACGCATTCTATCTCCAAAAAAATTATGGTACATTTTTAACAACTAACAACAGAGATACAGCACTGTCACTTGCGGAACCAACCCGCTTTGGCCAACTTTTAAAAACTATAAAGAACTATACAGCATGGTCCCTAAGCATTTATTTAANAATTGACGTGATCAAAGAAACAATAATTATAATAAAGTTTTGGTTAATTATATTTGACCATAACATTTGAAATGCTATTTCGAGACACTTCATGGACTGTATTAGTGGCAGTTCTATTTTAATGTATAAAAAGTATTGAATACCTATTTTCTGTCAAAGAACATACAAACAGAACTCTTTTAAACTTAATTTTGAGTCAAATGATTTCAAATTTAAAGGCAACACAAGTTACGCGAATAAATCATTGGTTAATCTTCTTTCTGAAAGCAGAAGAATGAAAATTGTGCAAATAAATAATATGAATTGGAATTTGAAACAGAAGATTAAAACAGAATTACCACCAAACAATCGAGTGTATTTTAATTTAAGGCGACTTTGATTAAAGTGATATTGTATCGATTAATCTTATTAATCATCAGTTGCATTCTGTATTGTATCACTCTAACACTAGGCACTATGTTTTCTAAGAAAGCGTAAAATACATAAAATAAAGAAAGTTAAAATAGACCCAGAAATTCTACATTAAAATGGTGATTTTCTTTAAATACATTGCAATTGTATTGCATTTTGATCAAATTTCGAGGTTTAAATTATTATCAGACTAAAATGCAACTTAACTGAGGTTACAGGATTAGAATTTATCCATCTACCTAACAAATTGTCATGACTGCCATTATTTTTAAAAGCAGATTGTAATAATACTACGGTCATATCACTTTGAAACGATGTATAAATATTGGGCCCTATGCACATAGATAGCTAAGAGAATACGGAAAATAGATCGCAAACGGTAAAAAGTAAGAAAACAGATATTGTTCTTGTTTTTGCAAATTGTATAGAAGGAAAATTTGAAAATAATAAAGGGCAAGAATTTTTATCTGGTCCTACCTCTTTCGTAACTTTTGTCACGATGCTCTTGTACCTACTTTGAATTAGTAACAGTTACATAATTATTTCGTGGCAAGAGATACAATAGGTATCTATAGATAGAATATAATTGATTTTGCCTGCCTGTTCCCATGTATATTTAGAATTTCATTCTCATAGAGTTGTCAAGGTGATATTTTACATCTTGACTGTATTTAATAAAACACAAGTATTGCCTTAATAAAGAAGAATTACTTTAAAATAATATTTGCAAAGGTTTCAGCATAACGAAATCGTATTCACTTACAGTAATCAAAAAAGTAATATTTATCCTTTTTCCACTAACATAAAGATTCAAATTCGATAACATAATTGATAATCCTAATATTATACCAGTTATTCCTAGAACTTTTACATTAGAAACGATCGGAAAGAACACACTTCAACGCATCTCAATCAGTTTCGTTACAATCGCTGCAATCCAAATTGTTCTTAATCTAATTAACAATAATTGTGCGGTTGGCGTTTATACAGGGTGTTTCTTGTAANTTCAATATTAAAGCGTATCTTCTCACTGTAATGTTTTGTAATTTAAAACGTTAGCGTAAATTTATCTTGCAATAACCTACGATATGCTGAAACTTTAGAATTTGTTTTCCTGAGAAGATTGAAGTCGAGTCAGAGAGAGATCTTTCAACCATTCACCGTCATTTTTGGAAAAAATGTGATTCTCATAAAAGTAATTTTCACAATATCTATCACAGGCAAAGTAGATTTTGAAAGAACCCTTCCAACAGCCAATAAATTATATCTTAGCGTACTTAAAACTAAAACCCCCTTTATTCTTATTGCCTTATCTAAATTAAAACTTTCATCTGTGTCATCACAAACATCAGTCTCAACAGAAGCTATCCACAGTCTATGAAATTGAATCATTTCTTTATTATACTATCGAAATCGTACTGGGGACCGAATGCGGTTTTGGCCGTGCGTCTTGTCAAAAATACTTTTCCGTCTTTTTCATAGTCCCCGCAGATGTTATTTACTTCATACGGCGTATCGTCATCAGCATTTTTGTGTATTTTCCCATTTTCTTCGCTCTGAGTGACGCCGTTGGTTTTAACACCATTACTTTTGATACCGTTCCTTGTCTTTTCGTGTACCTCCTTGATTTCCTTCTCGACGTTCTTTTTGGCTTTGTAGCTCTTTGAGTAGAAGTTTAGGAAGAGCAGAAGGAAGATTGTGACGTTGGCGCAAATGAAGTAGGTGAAGCCAGAAGCGTACTGGCAGCGCGGGGAGAAGTGGGTCCATGCGCAGTAGACAAGCATTAACGCGAATTGAATCTAGGGGAAAATAAAATGGGGTAAAATAGTAGATTGGAAAATAAAATTTAAAATCGGGTACTGTCTTAGACTAGTTAAACAAAAAAAGTAAACCCTATCTAATTAATTTAAATAGAAGATACCTATGAAAGATAAGGAAAGTTAAAAAGATATCTAATTTAAATATCTGTGACTAGTTTGAGATTAAATAAGAAATATTACTTTTTTATCAAGAGCTAAAGGAGATTATCTGAATATCTTGCTATTGCCAGAATTGCAGCGAGGATTAAAAAACAATCTAAAATACCTGTTCTATCTAAGACTACCCTATAAGCTCACCAGTTGCATTCTGGTCACGTATCTCTTCCACCACAGGTACTTCTGGAAGCGAGGCCCCAGCCCTGAGAGGAGGTAGTAAGTGTACATGACCACATGCACGATTGAGTTGAGGAGTGCCAGGATCGCCCCTTGTCCACCTGCAGCGAACTTGAGATAGCTCCACGAGTATACTGCCATGATGACATGGTGGTACACGTGGAGGAAGGTCACCTGAAAATTACAGTATCAAAGATATTAGTGACAATAGATATACTCCTACTCGATACGCATACAACAAGAAAGAAACTAGACCTCTCGGAATAAATTGCAAAGACTCTATCTGTCACGCTTGAAGATGATAAATCTATCAGCATCATTTTCAACCTTATTATAAAAAGCAAGAAAATTCTACACTCGCGAGCAAAACTATGGAATCACTCACATGAAGTTGTTTCCACGCGATCTTGTGTACTAACGAATTTGTTAGTAACAAAAAAAGTGGCACCATTTTAAAGATTAAACTTTTAACTTTAAATTGATACCAAATTTATTTAAATCACATCAGTATTTAAAAAGATATCCCGGTTAATGTGACGAAGTAAGGAAAAAGACATGTATCTACTCTTTGATACGTCGCGAGTTGCGGCCTATTTACCCCCTATAAAAGCACGTGTTTTCGGATTTTGCTTTTACACGTTGATCCTTACACATNCTTCTGGCCGAGGGGGAAGTCATGCCCAGCTTATGACCTGAGGAGAGGAGAGGGGCGGGGGAGTCATACCCAGCTTCTAGGCTAAGATTAAATAGATTTCCAGGAGGAAGCAGCTGGCCCGCCCATGGGAACGGCGAATAGATAGGTAGGTACGTAGGTATAACTCAGAAAAACTAAATAACAGGTAGGTATTGCGTGTACATCGAAATTATCTTCATAGCAATGTCTTGTAGCCTAGGCAGAGTGTATCTGCCTCAGCTATACTTATTGTTAGAAGTAAATCCCAACTAATATTATAAATGCGAAAGTAACTCTGTCTGTCTGTCTGTCTGTCTGTCTGTTACGCTTTCCCGCTTAAACCTCGCAACCGATTTTGATGAAATTTGGCATAGAGATAGTTTGAGTCCCGGGAAAGAACATAGGATAGTTTTTATCCCGGTTTTTGAAACAGGGACGCGCGCGATAAAGTTTTTCTGTGACAGACAAAATTCCACGCGGGCGAAGCCGCGGGCGGAAAGCTAGTAAATTAATATTTATACATTTTTTTATTTTACTTGGACGAAGATATGACTCTAACAACACTTATGAACACTTTATTTGAATAAATCGCCAAATATACCACCGCGGAGACCCTAATCGCGTCTCCGCGTTCCATTGAATCGTATGAGCGTATGGATTTTTTGCGATATTTTTCACAATTTCTATTTTAAAAAATTACCTATTGATAGCTTACTTTATTCTGATGAATAAATGTTATAACAAGTTTTTCTCTAAAACTGATAGTTTGGCTAGAAAAAAATATTTTCTATCCACGCAGTACGTCGGCAGCGTTCGGATCGGATATAGTGACGTCATCGGTCCCGCGCCGGGCGGTCAGGGAACTTTTTTAGTAATTTGGCCATAACTTCGTCAATTTTTGTCGTAGAACAAAAATTTTTGGACTGTATATTAAGGATTTCTTAGACCTATAAATCTGCATTCACAGCTAAAAATCGAAATGATCCTCATTACCAAGATTAAAAAAATCACGGCTCTGTATCATTGGTCGGGGATTTTATTTATGAAGGAGCATGGATAAGGTAGAGATAAAACGCTTTCATCAGGCTACTCTCAAAATTGTTGTCCGAAGTTTCGAATGTTTGCATCAATTGCATCTCTCTTGCACCAAGTTAGATGCTAGAACGAGCGACAGTGAAAGATAGCCTCAAAAGCTGGGCATCCTGAGGTCTTAGATTAAAATTTAAGTAAAAAGGTTTAGGTGCCTGGATGCGAGCGGCGCAGGACCGGTCTTTGTGGAAATCTTTGGGGGAGGCCTTTGTTCAGCAGTGGACGTCTTTCGGCTGAAACGAACGAACGAACGAAAAAGGTTTATAAATACCTTTGCACAAATCATAGTCGCCAACAGGACTTGCGACGCGTTGTAGTAAGTGATGAGTTTGTTCATCTGCATCGGCGGGCGGTTTTTCATTATCACCGGCACCAGCCTGATCACCACTAGGTACGCTATCACCACGCCGATGATGGGCGAAGGACTCGACATCATGAACCATGAGTCGACCATTGCACCTGGAAGAAGACGGAACTACAGTCTCTTTCAATAAAGTCCTGTCTTGTGAGACCCCGCGTTTTTCGGGGTGGTTATGAAGATTGATGTGTATTCTTTTAACCTTTTACATAATAAAAATTACATAGTATACCCTAGGACCTTTTAAGATTTATAAGCAGAAAATGTCGGAATAGTTGGAAGATAGTTCTTACAACTCACGAAGGCGAGTGAGCTTTACTTGTGTGTGTACGTCTACATGCACATAACGACAGTGTAGTGTCTGTCAAAACTTTTGGAAAAACGAACAGTAGCGTGCCACCACACATGTAATGCTCACTCGCCTTCGTGAATTATTGCAACAACTATAGCTAATAACTCTCCTGGGCCACACTCATCGCGATAACATTCGGGCAACAGCGAAGCGAAGTCTTACGACCATGCAAAAAAGCACCAAAAATACCTTCTGAATACATTGCGGTAATGTGAATCTTTGTACTATCGCGATGTGTGTGGCCCTGGGGACAGAGATAGTTATCGTCATAAAGATAACAACCTGATACGGGAGAAAGTCGGGAGTTATGACAAAACACTTGTACTTACTTTTCCCCACTTTGAGGGAGTCTAAGTATTTATCAACTTTTTCTAAGTAGCTCATTTTGGCGGACTTTGGATAACGTCTTTTTAAATCGTCGCCGACAGGCTGTAGCGATACCTGAAAAGAAAAGGCAAAATCCAAAATTATTATCAGCAAAACAAAATTTCAGCTGTCAACTTTGACACGTGTCTAACTATTTTACTTTTACGGTTTGAAATACAAAAGAGGAAAATCAAAAAAGTTTTAACATAATTCGAGGAATTCTAATTTATTTCATTAATGACGATAAATAAATAAATAACTTAACTTAAATGATATTAACAGATAATAATGTTCAGAAAGTAAGTAATCATGAGAAAAGCTTTTAGATTTATAGACTAACGAGTTACGAGTAGGTACATTTGAATGATCAAACGAACTTACCAAGTGAAGTTCGATCTAAATTATCCTGTTTTCGCCGAAGAGATTTATTTTACCATGTAGTACCCCTGTACGACAACCCAATCCGCACACAATATTCAGCGTAGTAGTAGTAAAAAACAAAAGAGCGGGCAACCCCACCCCTACCACGCTGTGGGCTCGGTGTCCGAGCGGTCTCATTATATTTAGAGAAGAGATGACATTGACGTNCCCTGAGAGGAGGTAGTAAGTGTACATGACCACATGCACGATTGAGTTGAGGAGTGCCAGAATCGCCCCTTGTCCCCCTGCAGCGAACTTGAGATAGCTCCACGAGTATACTGCCATGATAACATGGTGGTACACGTGGAGGAAGGTCACCTGAAAATTACAGTATCAAAAATATTAGTGACAATATACTCCTTCACGATAAGCATAATAAAGAAACTAGACCTCTCGGAATAAATTGCAAAGACCCTTTATCTGTCACTCTTGAAGATGATATCTATCAGCATCATTTTCAACCTTATTATAAAAAGCAAGAAAATTCTAGCTTAATTCCTTACTGGGTCTTCAGATTAATCATTTATAAGCACCAGAGAAAGTACATTCGAAATCATAAGTAGACGAATATAACACCTATAAACTACAAAAGAATCCACTATAGTAACGCTTGAAGTACCGTCGCTGTATACGGTACATGTACAACAGAATTTAGATCTAACTTACTGTGAAATGTAAATAATATCGAGACATGTCGCGTGAGATTGCTGCCGATACCAACAACATTCAAGTCTGAGTAGCTTAGTTCAAATGATTTCTGTGCACGTGAAGTCGGAATATTTATGAACGTATGAATTGTCGTAGCGGTCGACAAAGTTATGTTGTAATTAGGGATATTATTGTGTTTTAAATACACTGACCTTATTAATATTCAAGCTATTTCAGTCATAGTAATGATATTTATTTGATCAAGTGCTAGTCAGACTCGTAATTGATAGTTTCGTGTCCTCCTTCCTTTTCCTTCTTCGCTCTTTCATTCTTCCTTCCTTTTCTTTTTTAGTGCTCTCAATCATTAAAAAAAGCTCATAAAATAAAAACATTGATCTCACATTGAATTAAAAGGTAAGTTTATGGCATTATAAGTGTGATATAATTATGAAAACAGCGAAACAGGCAGACAAAAGAAATGATTCTATAAGGATTCTTTTGTCCTGTCGTGGTACTACTTCTGTTTAATGAATTAAGTTAGGTACTGAGAAATATCTTACCTGACTGTTCTTCTTTCGTAGAACGAAGAACACCGTGTCCAGCAACTCCGTGAATTTGGCGAAGAAATACCACCAGCCTAAGTCTAACAGCTGGAAGTACAAATAAAGATAATATTAATGATGATAATAGATACACAAAAGACCATAGCATGGAGAAAAGACAGAAGTGAATTGTGATGTACCTAATGAAGTTTTTAGCGGTAAAAACAGAGATGAACTTACCATAGGATTTTGCGTATTGGACGGATATCGACACCCTGCATACAAAATACCATCTTTGAAGAGGTTTAACTTGAATGCCTGTTGAAATACATAAAATATTCATTTGAGAAACATACAAAAAGTTAAACACTTTAAAAAAAATTAGAAGATCATGGTCCCTGAGCTGGTTTGTCATTACTAAGACTGAATCAGCGGAATTACCAAGATTAAAAAAATCACGGCTCTGTATCATTGGTCGGGGATTTTATTTATGAAGGAGCATGGATAAGGTAGAGATAAAACGCTTTCATCAGGCTACTCTCAAAATTGTTGTCCGAAGTTTCGAATGTTTGCATCAATTGCATCTCTTTTTCACCAAAGCTAGAACGAGCGACAGTGAAAGATAGCCTCAAAAGCTGGGCATCCTGATGTCTTAGATTAAAATTTAAGTAAAAACGTTTAGGTGCCTGGATGCGAGCGGCGCAGGACCGATCTTTGTGGAAATCTTTGGGGGAGGCCTTTGTTCAGCAGTGGACGTCTTTCGGCTGAAACGAACGAACGAACGAAAAAGGTTTATAAATACCTTTGCACAAATCATAGTCGCCAACAGGACTTGCGACGCGTTGTAGTAAGTGATGAGTTTGTTCATCTGCATCGGCGGGCGGTTCTTCATTATCACCGGCACCAGCCTGATCACCACTAGGTATGCTATCACCACGCCGATGATGGGCGAAGGACTCGACATCATGAACCATGAGTCGACCATTGCACCTGGAAGAAGATGGAACTAGAGTCTTCTCTTTCAATTATGTCCCGTCTTGTGCGACTCCGTTTTCGGGGTGGTTATGTAGATTGATATGTTACCTACACATTCTTATAACCTTATATATAATACAAATTACATAGTATACCCTAGGACCTTTTAAGATTTATAAGAAAGAAATAGAGCAGAAAATTTCGGAATAATTGGAAGTATAATAAATAATAATAAATCTTTGGACAATTTCACACAGCGCCAGCTAGCCCCAAAGTAAGCAACTTAATGCTTGTGTTATGGGTGCTAGCTTAACGGATATACTACTTATACAGGGTGTTAGGTAAATGGGTATATGAGCCGACACTAGCCCATGTTAACATGGTCATATAAATGGTATGGTGAAGTCAGAGAATTGATATCTTCATTTTAATTATTTTATTTTTCATACAAATCGGATTTTATAAAATTTATTTTGTATGAAAATTAAAAAATTAAAATGATGATATCAAATTTCTGACTTCACCATACCATTTANAGGCAGACAAAAGAAATGATTCTATTAGGATTCTTTTTTCCTGTCGTGGTACTACTTCTGTTTAATGAATTTAATTAGGTACTGAGAAAGCATTCTTACCTGACTGTTCTTCTTTCGTAGAACGAAGAACACTGTGTCCAGCAGTTCCGTGAATTTCGCGAAGAAGTACCACCAGCCTAAGTCTAACAGCTGGAAGTACAGATAAAGATAATATTTAATGATGATAATAAATGGACAAAAGACAATAACATTAAGAAAAGACTAAAGTTCATTTTGAAGTTGTCAGCAGTAAAAACAGAGATGGACTTACCATAGGATTTTGCGTATTGGACGGATATCGACACCCTGCATACAAAATACCATCTTTGAAGAGGTTTAACTTGAATGCCTGTTGAAATACATATTCATTAATTGAGAAACATACAAAAAGTTAACCACTTTTAAAAAAAAATAGAATATCATGGTCCCTGAGCTGGTTTGTCATTACTAAGACTGAATCAGCGGAATGAGGATCAGTACTGTTGTAGAAAATTCAATAAAACTAGTATCTACGTTAATCTTTAAGACATAAGAAAGATATATCTTTTTGAATTATCCAAATCGGACCATTACTTACGAAGATATTAAGTAATAAACATAGGCCGTTTTTGCCGCTAAAAGTCAACGTACGCCGGGCCGCGTGACGTCACTATATCCGAATCGAGCGCAGCCGGCGTACTATTAGGATGGAAAATATTTTTTTCCAGCTAAACTATCAGTTTTAGAAAAAAACTTTTAATAACATTTATTCATCAAAATATCGACAAGTAATTTTTAATAATAAAAATTGTGAAAAATAAGTATCGCTATGTCCAAAAACCACATTTTTATAGGATTCGATGGAATGCGGAGACGCGGTTGGGGCGAGTGTAACTTTATGATTGTTTGTATTGAACATAATAATACATAATATGAGTNTGGTGAAGTCAGAGAATTGATATCTTCATTTTAATTATTTTATTTTTCATACAAATCGGATTTTATAAAATTTATTTTGTATGAAAATTAAAAAATTAAAATGATGATATCAAATTTCTGACTTCACCATACCATTTATATGACCATGTTAACATGGGCTAGTGTCGGCTCATATACCCATTTACCTAACACCCTGTATAGTATACTTCTTGCAACTCACAAAGGCGAGTGAGCTTTACTTGTGTGTGTACGTCTACATGCACATAACGACAGTATAGTGTCTGTCACTTTCTCGTCTGAAACTTTTGGAAAAACGAACAGTAGTGAGCCACCACACATGTAATAAACTGCAACAACTATAGCTAATAACTCTCCTGGGCCACACTCATCGCGATAACATTCGGGCAACAGCGGAGCGAAGTCTTACGACCATGCAAAAAAGCACCAAAATATACCTTCTGGATACATTGCGGTAATGTGAATCTTTGTACTATCGCGATGTGTGTGGCCCTGGGGACAGAGATAGTTATCGTCATAAAGATAACAACCTGATACGGGAGACAGTTGTTATGGAGTTAAGACAAAACACTTGTACTTACTTTTCCCCACTTTGAGGGAGTCTAAGTATTTATCAACTTTTTCTAAGTAGCTCATTTTGGCGGACTCTGGATAGCGTAAGACTTTTTAAATCGTCGCCGACAGGCTGTAGCAATACCTGAAAAGAAAAGGCAAAATCCAAATTATTATCAGCAAAACAAAATTTCAGCTGTCAACTTTGACACGTGTCTAACTATTTTACTTTTACGGTTTGAAATACAAAAGTCAAAAAAGTTTCAACATAATTCGAGGAATTTCATTAATGACGATAAATAAATCAACTTAAAAGATATTAACAGATAATAATGTTCATAAAGTAAGTAATCATGAGAAAGCTTTTAGCTTTATGGACTAACGAGTTACGACATGTCAAACTTTCCCATTATTTTTGGTTTATTTAGGCAATAATGTTATGTAATATTGTCGAAATATGTTTATACCATCCCTATTACTACAAACTACGAGTACAAACACCCCTGTACAATTTTTTTTAATATCTTTTGAACAAAATTATAAATTCAACAATCTAAAGTTTGACGATATGGGTACACAAACTAACTCTAATTACATTGTTTCAACTTAAAATCGATCAAAAAGATCTAAAAATATACTAATGGATGTCTATTTTCGATACTTTTAAAGGTACCTTGTAATTACTTGTTTAAAGGACAACAACTTCATGAAAGTATGTCATGAAAGTTAAAATATATTTTAATGAAACGTTTTTCTACAAAGAAAACAGCTAACACGTAATTACTTTAGCAGGAAAGTATTATAGTAGTTCTGGTTTTTTAAATATTTATAATATCCACAAGCGTTTTCATTTACACAAATAATTAAAAAAAATATGTTTTGTTGATTTATTCAACAATTCCTTTCATTATATCCTTCTCAATATTAGAAACCCATAGCTTTCGATTACTAGACAACTTCAAATTCATCCGTATACAGGATGTTCTATGGTAGGGGCTCAAACAAAAAGGGTTGACTCTACTATTCAAATACAGTCATTTTCCTACAGGGCCAATACCCATATTCTATGAAAAATTTAAGTCTTAGATGACTGATTGCGGATGCTTTATGAAATTTAGATTTTTTCTTTAATTTCAACTTCTTCTGGGGAAACTGGTAGCATTTGAGCAGTAGAATTAATCCTTTTTCTTTAATAACCTACCAATAAATCGACAGGTCTAAACAACTCCATAATTTAGTTATCACACTGTAAATCTTATTTCTATGGACATAAGTAAGTCCTAGGAGTGAAAGTATCTCTCTCACAATCCGCGTGCAAAGCAATCGTATCTACACTTGACTTAGTTCCCGGTCCTATTCAAATTCGCTTGATCACGAGAAATAACAGTGACACACAGTTTCACCGGATGATGGTAAATATACAGCATGCTCTGATCGAAGTAAGATAAGATGGTAAACGCACAACATCGTAACTCTAGGAGCGAAAATTGTTATTTCAGTGTTTAAAAAACCAAGATGTGGTTTGAGAAGCTTGAGTCCTAAAGTTTTCAAGGTTTATTATCAGAGTAGTATTTTTATGGTAAAGATCGCGGGAAGAGCCTGGATGCGGGCAGCGCAGGACCGTTCATTGTGGAAAACCTTGGGGGAGGCCTTTGTCCAGCAGTGGACGTCATTTGGTTGAAACGATGTCTTTTTCCATAGTATCGATGGACGAGAAATAAAACATGCCATGAATATAACGGGCATCGATTTGATGCAGCTGGAAATATTTAGGGGAGAATTTTGAGTCAGCTCTATTATCTACATATTGTATTAAAACTCCTAGTAAAATAACACATTCGCTTCCATACTTGTATTAAAACACCCTGTATAAAATCAAGTGTAATCTCTAATCTTGTTCTCTTCATAAGAATATGTCCTGTATTTATAGACTGTAAAATTGACCTATAATGTCTGACGTCAGACGCAATTGCTACAACTAGGCCATTACTGCAATTTATTTCAAGCGATTCATCTGACATTTCTATACATTTGCAGTTCAAAGGAAAACAGTCTTTGATGCCCCTGATTAAGGTTCCTTCCTTAAGTGGAGGAAAGTGTGAAGAGTTTTTGTTACTGACAGGTCAGCTGTGGATTTGTGTTTTGTATGTCAACGACTTTGTCCATGTCAGATGGTATTATAATGGTATTGACCGTTAGAATGCGCGGGCGCACTATGGAAGCCATGGCTCGCTTAGATATGATTAGGAACACGACATCTTGATACTGAGTGAAAATGTATTGAAAATTACTTTCCATCAGTGATATGTAGGACAGCTTCCTTGTTCTGGTTAAAAATGATTCAATTGAAAATTGTACACCATCTAGTAGGAATTTCAAAAGTTATGACCAAAAACAAGAAATGTTAGTCAATCAGTTGGAGAAGTAGTGGCGTCACTGGTCTTTCGTGTCTTTACCATAGAAAATTAATGAACTTGTCAACGCTCATATTTTATTCATCGATATGCTGAATTGCTATTGAAAAAAATTATAATAAAAATAAACTTTTTTAAAAACAAGCTTTTATTCTGAATTTCGAAAGTTTGTATCGCGCATGGAATTTATTCCTCTTTTTCTCTGTTTGCGCTACAAGCTTTCGAAATTCAGAATAAAAGCTTGTTTTTAAAAAAGTTTATTTTTATTATAATTTTATTTTACACTTTTTAGTTATATCTTAATCTCAGGACCCTGGACGTTATCTAATACTAAAGTGCTCGAAAAGACAAATCCAACGAACCCAAACTCGATGANAATGATAGATGATGTATATTATGTTTTAGGCTACATAATAATGTTAACTATTTAATAAAATAATGTATTTGTTTATAATGTTACTTAAATTGGTAAATATGACCTTTTGAACCCATATTTTTGATCTAGAAGATCAACATTATATTTTTTTTTGTTTGTAATAATATTTTATTAAGACAAACTTTCCCATTATTTTTAGTTTATTTAGGCAATAATGTTAAGTAATATTGTCGAAATATGTTTATACCATCCCTATTACTACAAACTACGAGTACAAACACCTCTGTACAATTTTTTAAATATCTTTTGAACAAAATTATAAATTCAACAATCAAAAGTTTGACGTATGTGGGTACACAAACTAACTTTAATTACATTGTTTCAACTTAAAATCGATCAAAAAGATCTAAAAATATACTAATGGATGTCTATTTTTGATACTTTTAAAGGTACCTTGTAGTTACTTGTTTAAAGGACAACAACTTCACGAAAGTTAAAATAGATTTTATTGAAACGTTTTTCTACAAAGAAAACAGCTAACACATAATTACTTTAGCAGGAAAGTATTATAGTAGTTCTGGTTTTTTAATATTTATAATATCCACAAGCGTTTTCATTTACACAAATAAATTAAAAAAGTAGGTATATGTTTTGTTGAATAAATCCTTCTCAATATTAAAATCCCATAGCTCTCGATTACTTCAAATTCATCCGTATACAGGGTGTTATTTTGGTAGGGGCTCAAACAAAAATGGTTGACTCTACTATTCAAATATAATTATTTATTTCCCTTCAGGACAATTATTATCCTAATTCTTAAAAAGAAAAATACGTCCCCATAATACTGGTTGCTGATATAATTTATTGACTAGAATGATTTTTAAAATTTTAACGTCGTTCTCTTGGGGAAACGTTTTAAACTAAAATAAAGAAACACGGGTCTCAATCGTTTCTGTTATTTGATATCCTTCCAATGAATCAAGCTGTATGTATGATAGATAAATAAAATCTATTTAGTTATCTCATTAGAAACGTTATCACAATAGAAATAAGTCCTAGGAGTGAAAGCATTTCTCTCACAATCCGCATGCAAAGCAATCGTATCTACACTTGACTAAGGTCCCGGTCCTATTCAAATTTGCTTGATCACGAGAAATAACAGTGACACACAGTTTCACCGGATGATGGTAAATATACAGCATGCTCTGATCAAAGCAAGATAAGATGGTAAACGCACAACATTGTAACTCAAGGAGCGAAAATTGTTATTTCAGTGTTTAAAAAACCAAGATGTGGTTTGAGAAGCTCGAGTCCTAAAGTTTTCAAGGTTTATTATCAGAGTATGTCTTTTTCTGGTAAAGATCGCGGGAAGAGCCTGGATGCGGGCAGCGCAGGACCGTTCATTGTGGAAAACCTTGGGGGAGGCCTTTGTCCAGCAGTGGACGTCATTTGGCTGAAACGATGTCTTTTTCCATAGTATCGATGGACGAGAAATAAAACATGCCATGAATATAACGGGTATCGATTTGATGCAGCTGGAAATATTTAGGGGAGAATTTTGAGTCAGCTCTATTATCTACATATTGTATTAAAACTCATAGTAAAATAACACATTCGCTTCCATACTTGTATTAAAACACCCTGTATAAAATCAAGTGTAATCTCTAATCTTGTTCTCTTCATAAGAATATGTCCTGTATTTATAGACTGTAAATTGACCTATAATGTCTGACGTCAGCTGCAATTGCTACAACTAGGCCATTACTGCAATTTATTTCAAGCGATTCATCTGACATTTCTATACATTTGCAGTTCAAAGGAAAACAGTCTTTGATGCCCCTGATTAAGGTTCCTTCCTTAAGTGGAGGAAAGTGTGAAGAGTTTTTGTTACTGACAGGTCAGCTGTGGATTTGTGTTTTGTATGTCAACGACTTTGTCCATGTCAGATGGTATTATAATGGTATTGACCGTTAGAATGCGAGGGCGCACTATGGAAGCCATGGCTCGCTTAGATATGATTAGGAACATGACATCTTGATACTGAGTGAAAATGTATTGAAAATTACTTTCCATCAGTGAGATGCAGGACAGGAGCTTCCTTATTCTGGTTAAACCATCTAGCAGGTATTAATTAATATTTAATACACACTTCGTAAAATAAAGCCTGAAAATTAATTACCTGCTTAGCTTTCAATTTCAAAAGTTATAACCAAAAACAAGAAATGTTAGGTGGCGTCACGGGTCTTTCGTGTCTTTACTATAGAAAATTAATGAACTTGTCAATGCTTATATTTTATTCATCGATATGCTGAATTGCTATTGAAAAAGTGTAGGTAGGTGAGCAGGCTGCATACTT